GGCATGGGCACCCGACTTTCAACTATACCTCCAACTTCAACCAACAAATGTATTTCGTATATTTTTTAGATAAAATTAATTCGGAAACGTAACATGAACTTGATAGAAGAGTTTTTTAGATAAAATTAATTAGGAAACGTAACATTTTTGGAGTGTCTAAACCATTCTTCTTGCTTGATCTATCATGGATGACCGATTAGATTTTTTTTTAAAAAAAATTAATATTACCCCAAATACAAATTCTTCTTTGTATAGATTAAATTGTTTAATTACTATGCCCCGAGGTTTGATGACTTCCAGGTCGTACGAAAACTAATATTACCCCAAATACAAAATCTTCTATATATATAGATTAAATTGTTTAATTACTCGGCCACCAGGTTTGATGACTTCTAGGTGGTACGAAACACAGGTTTCCAGGCTCCCTCTAAATTCTAGATAAGTTACCAAACACTACAATAACTTTCCAATATTAGGAGCCGGATCATCCAGAATCACATGGAGAAAGAACTTCCAAGTTCCATATAACACTACTAGCTTCCGGCTGGCAAACACATTCCAATATTAGGAGCCGGATCATCCAGAATCACATGGAGAAAGAATCGAACCCGCATCATCAGAGCTTAAACGGTCCATGCTATCATGGAGTCAGGCCCGACACTTTCTTAAATGCTATAAGCCCAAACAGAAACGATCTTCGATTATTAATTACCTATTTTAGAAAGAATTACATTCCCCCAAACAAATAACATATTAAAAAGGCTTCACTTGATGATTTGTTTTTATTTTCTAGTTCAATAATTAATGAAAATCCACGTATCGATGGAGGTTAATTACATTACCTAAATTTTAAATATCTTAATGATGAATGAACATTGTTAAAAATATAATTTATGCTAACTCAAAAATGTTGGATTTTAAGAATCGGAAGTTCACGCATAAATCCATTTCTTTTTTTAATATTATTAAAGTAGGTTTTATTTTTATTGGTATTTATTTTTGCCCAAAATAACCCCGGAGAAATACTTCAAGTACCATACCGCACTGGAATTTAGTTTAGCACTTGAAGTACAAGACTGAGTCCTCTAGATTTACAATTTTTCTCCCCAAAGTTGGAGCGATAATTGAAGTACCATACCAGCTCTATCGATGAAAAAATACAGTTCGGTCCTAGAAGTAACGGCTCAGTTATTTTGGTACTTTTTTGCTAGAAGTGTCGGACCGGCTCAAATAATAAAAAAAATGCGGTCATGTACTAAAAGTACCTGACTGATTTGGGGCAAAATGACTTGCTTGGGGCAAAATGGTTCGGTAAAGATCAGTCCAGTGTTATAAGTAATGGACTGATAGCAATATAGAGGCAGCCCCTTTACGAATTTTGGGAGGAAAAGAACATGTGGTTTAGTACTTCAAGCTGGAGTTATTCTGGAAGAAAATAAAACTGACAAAAAAAAAAGGGACATGCAAGAAAAAATGGGAATTACATGAAGGGAAAAGTTTATATAGAGCCGAGGCTCTAAACAATCAAATTTGAGCCTATATCAAAAATTTCACTAGAAGATGTTGTTTTGATGTTCAAATATCTTTAAATCGATCATCTTGACATCGATATGTATAGACATGAGACAAAAATGGATTTCAAGTTTTGGAAATAGTGTATTTTTGTAACATATTTTTTGGACTGTCAATTTTCAACATTTTCAAGTTTTTATAGTTCTATCGATCTATATTATTTTTAAAACTTTAAACTTTATAAATAAATATGAAAATATATTTTAAGGCTATCACAAAAATTTCCAATATTAAAACCATATTTCTCACACTATTTGAAGGTAGGCTCTAATTTCATTGTTTAGAGCCTAAGCTCTATACAAACCTCACCCTTACATAAAACATAGGATATATACATTAATTTCCCTTAAAAAGTAATTTGCATTAACTTTTGACTTCAGATAAGGTATTTAAAACTTAGAAATTTTTTTTTTTTTAGCTTGCTCTAAAATTTCTATTTGTATTACACCCTCGAAGGGTTGAAACGAGGATGCAAGATGTTCTTGAAAATGGCAGAAGATTTAGAGCTGGCTCTATGCACTTTCCACTTGAAATTAGTCACGGAAACCGTTTCTATGAGTTCATGTAGAATGAGTCTCTTCCCTCTTAAAAATTTATTTTTTAGGTGGATTTTTTAACCCAATTTTTAAGAATATATAAACTCTAAAATAAAGATCATGAATATGAAAAAATTAAAAAAATTTAAAATAATAACTTTATGAAAAAAACGTTTGGACCGACAATTTTAACTATTTTAAAATAAACCATCAATCTGCATTCATCTTTAAGATGAATGCTTTATACTTCAGGGGACGCAAATGTAGCGTAGTTTCTTTTACATGCTTTTCAACCATGTCAAAGGAGGATCTATCACCTGCGCGTCCCATTTTTTTTGTTGACAAAGTATATGTTAACTCCCACAGATAAAAAAATGTATTTTTGAGAAAATCTTTTATTTGAGTTTTTGGGATCCAACTAAAAATAACTAAATTATTATTTTCAAAAATAAAAAATATATTTTTTGTTTCCAACACCTTGATATTGCCTTTCGAAAATTGGGCATTCCTTGTCCAATCTCATATTGTTTTTTTTTCGAGGGTATAGAACTTTTCAATTTGAAATGGAAACAAAAAATTTGAGGTTACCTCCCCAAAATTTGGGATCAGCTTGAGATTTATCCGATATCTAGGATCGATAATCCAGAAGAATGAAGAAATTAAAAAAAATATCGCACATAGAATTAAAGTTGTAGAATAAACAATATAGGGGTTAGCAATATAGTATTAAAAGTACGAGGGCCACGACTAGAAATTCCAATTTGGGGATATCTATAATTTCCCTTTTTTATTTTTAGAAAAAAATAACAATACTTTTAAATTTAAAAAGATTATAGATACCTTCAAAATTAGACTTTTTGTCATCCCCCAATACTCTTGATACCACATTATTAACCCCAAAACTCTTCGTTTTTACATCCAATCCACCCCAAGAAAAAAAACCGAACAAAAAATAATCACTAGACCAAAATACTGTCATTTTAAACTGCATTTTCCACTTTCACTCTAAGCCGGTCTGGTACAACTTGAATATATGTATTGGACTAGCACAATTTCAAGTGCATTATGTTTTGAATTGGTAGAATTTTAATAACAGAAGTCAGTCCAATACATTTTGCTCATTCAGCGTCAAAACAACACTTTTTGTCAAAAACTGGTCCGGTACATTTTTTGTTGGATTTGTACGAGCCAGTCTGACACAATTTTATGCTTGACCGACAGATGTTGGATGCCATATTTTTTAAAAAACAAAGTGAAATATTTTAATCCAAAAAAATCTACTTTTGCTTGGAGGTGCTGAGGTGGGTACAAAAATAAATGGTATTTGTGGGTATCATAAGTATAAGGGGAAAAAGTACAAACTATGTTATCTATAATTTAGAAAAAGTTTATATAAGGTGTCCACCTATACTATAGATGTAAAATGCACCTTAAAAACGCATCAAAAAAGGTTGCTTCGTCACTAGAAAATTCTCTAGTTGATCATCTTGACCTCTAAATATATGGATATAAAAGAAAAAATGAATTTCAAGTCCTAAAATAGTGCATCTTGTAACATATTATCTAGACCATTCAGTTTTAAAAATTTTGAATACTCATAGATATCCTAAATTTGCACGAGCTTTCAATTTTATTATCGGGGAGAAAAATAACTCACGCCATGATAAGAGTTTTGGTACCAAAAATACATCTTTCAATGAGATTTTGAGGTGCACCTATTATTTAAGGTTGACACTTTATACAAACCTCACCCCTATAATTTTCCTTTCAAATTTCAATATTAAGAGCACCTTTTTTCATTCTGATTATAAACCAAATCAATCAAAACTATTAGGAAAAGCTTTATATGTTATCCCTACAACATAGAAGTTCTATCTTCCCCCTTATCCAGTCGTCCATTTTTTAATGGAGGGCTAACATTGCCCCAATCACAATGGCATGTCTTTACACTGTTTTATTTTTAAATTTTTTTCTATAAACTGTTTTGACACCAAACTTTGGACGTCCATTCCTCTATTAAACTCGCACTAACAAAAAATATACAAAAAATGTTTTCAATAAAATAAAATGACCAAAATACCCCTTAAATTTTCAAGGGGCATTTTGATCATTATTTTTTTATCAAAAAATTATTGTTAATATTTTTATAGGTGCACTCCAATGAGAAGCTGGCACGTACTAAATTTCATAATTAAAAAATTTGTATTAGAAAAACCTAAAAATAAATATTTTGAGACATCAGATCTAAGATCAAACGGTAATTGGCTCTCTTGATAAAAAATAGACAGCTGGATGGTAAAGGGAGGATAGAAACTTCTATGTTATAGGGAGAACATATAAACTTTCCCAACTATTTAAGGAAAGCTTTCTATATTCCCTACAACATAGAAGTTATATCCTTCCCTTATCTAACCGTCTATTTTTTAATGGAGGGCTAAGATTGCCCCAATCACAATGTCACGTCTTTACATTGTTTTATTTTTATTTTTTTTCTATAAACTTTTGTTACACTAAAATTTAGATGTCTATTTTTTTATTAAACTCGCACTAATAAAAAATGTAAAAAAAATATTTTCAATAAAATAAAATGATCAAAATACTCTTAAAATTTTCAAAGGGTATTTTGGTCATTATTTTTTTAACAAAAAATTATTGTTAATATTTTATACGTGCGCCCTAATGAGAAGATATCATGTACTAAATTTAATATTCAAAAAAAATATATTAAAAAAACTAAAAATAAAATACTTTAAGATGTCGGATCTAAGATCAAACGGTGAGTGGCTCTCTTGATAAAAAAAATGGACGGCTGGATGATAAAGGAAGGATAGCTTTCCCAAACTATTATAGGTCCAAACTTTACCGCAAGGAGTCCACGACTCCTCCCCTTAACCATGAATCGAACTTTTGTTCACCCCGAAGAGAAAAGAACAGAAAAAAATTCAAGCAATGTTATACAGAGAGAGAGAGGGTAGAGAATTCAAGCTTCCTTAGAGAGAGAAGCTAACTTAGAGAGAGAGGAACCAGAGCGGCAGAGCTGTAAGTCGAGAGAGAAGAACCAAACCTGTAAGAGAAGAACCATGAATCAAACATTTTATTTGCTTTTCCACAACTCCACCCCACCATTGCCATTTCAGACTTCTCATTTCTGCAAATCTTCTATCAATCCTCACAAACCTCTGGTTTTAAAGCCTCTTCTTCTGCCTATAAACTGCTGGTCTACTCGTACTAACCCAGCCATCCCATTGGAGCAAAACCCACAAGACTCCAAACACAGGGCTCTTCTAGTTCAGAACTTCTTCCAAACCCAGCAACTATTGGACTTAATTGAAAAGATTAAAGGTGGTATTGACCCTCTGAAACTCCTCAGAGACGAAGGAGATTGGAACAAGGATCAGTTTTGGGCTGTGATGAAACTTCTAAAGGAGACTTCTCGCATAAAAGAGGCTATGCAAGTATGTATACCGTGTCTTTGATTTATCTTTCTAGTGCTCATGTATGAGTCAAAATCCTAGAAAAAAGAGTAATGATTTTTGTATAGAAATTCCGAATTCTTGTATCTTTCTTAGATTTCAAATGCTTGGTAACAAATAAATGAAGCTTTTGAAAAGTACTCAACTTTTTATTTATTGGGTGATTGGGAGAAATTTCCAGTTCCATCTCATTACTTGAATCTCAACTCATCAATGATTTTAAGCTTCTTTTTTTTTTTTTGGATGGTTGGTTAACAAGTAATGAAGCTTGGATGGATCTTTTCTTCTATGGGTAAGCGGGAGAAAGAACATTTCGGTATGGGAATTTGAGGGTGATTAAGATATTACTCTGTGTCACGGTTCAAATTTCTTTTCAAGGTTCGCTTTAAGAATGAATGGTAAATTCCCTGAAATTTTGATTTTTCTTTTTGGTGCTGAAGGTTTTTGACTACTGGGTGAATGTGGAGAGGTCAAGGCTCGATGATTCGAATTATACAAAGATGATAGAGTTGTTGGTAGATGCTGGTCTCATGGATGAAGCAACCACCATGCTCAAAGAGGTGAAAGATTTTGGTGTCCGGCCAACTGTAGCTGTCTACAATTTCATAGTTCATGGGTATGCTAACACTGGGAATTTTGACAAGGCCAACCTTTTCCTTAGGGAAATGAGGGACCTTGGTCTGGTTCCTGAATCTGAAACTTATGATGGATTGATTCGAGCTTATGGAAATCACAGAATGTATGATGATATGGCCAAGTGTGCAAAGAAAATGGAGTCTGAGGGCTTTACACCTGACCACCTCACTTACAATATACTGATCAGGGAGTTTGCAAGAGGTGGGTTAATGGTGAGAATGGAAGGTGCTTATCGAACTCTCCTTTCAAAGAAGATGGGTTTGCAGTACTCCACTCTGGTTGCCATGCTCGAGGCCTATGCTGCTCTTGGTTGCGTGAATGAGATGGAGACAGTTTTTCGTAGGCTTCTCAAGTCCAAGATCCCTTTAAAGGAGGATCTGGTTAGGAAAGTGGCGAGGGCTTACATAAAGAATCACCGGTTCTCTAGATTGGAGGATTTGGGTCTTGGGGTGGCTTCAAAAACTGGCCGGACTGATCTGTTTTGGTGTCTCCTTCTCCTCTCTCATGCCTGTCTTTGTAGTCGGAAAGGCATAAAATCAGTAATTCAGGAAATGAAATCAGCCATGGTTAGGCCAAATGTCACCTTTGCTAATATCACTGCCTTGACTTATCTTAAGATGAAAGATGTGCAGTATTTAGATGTTTTGCTCTCTCAGCTTCAATTGCTTAATGTCAATCCTGACATCGTGACAGTTGGGGTAGTTATGGATGCATATGTGAGTGGGTTTGATGACATAAAAGCTCTAAGAATGTGGAGAAAGACAGGCTTTTTAAGGAGGCCAGTGGAGATGAACACTGATCCTTTGGTCCTGACTGCCTTTGGAAAAGGATATTTTCTTAGGAGTTGCGAAGAGCTGTACTTGTCCCTTGGGGCTAAAGGAAGAGAACGTAAAGTTTGGACCTATAATGATTTGATTGATTTGGTTTTTAATCAAAATGAAAGAAGCTGATCATCGCTGCATCTCAAATAAAATATATCCAATGGAAAGGAATACAATAAAAATGCTTTTGCTTACTGGAAATCAACCACGAAATACTGGTGTTCGTTGGAATGAAATGCTAGAATGCTGTTGTTTTCCTGTGTTAAACAAGAGAGGCTTGCACTGAAGGATTAAAAAGTTATAATCCCATCTCTAAGTGCTGATGATTTGTGGTATCGGGCCTCGTCGAAAGAGGTGAGGTATACCTTGTGGGTCTTGACCTCGTAGACGTGCTCCTATATCTAGGGATATTGACCTCCAAGGGGTCAGGGTTTGTATCTATACCCCAACTTGGTGGGTGGTCTATGGGATGCTGCGAGGGTGGTCCTGCTAACAGCTCTAGAAGATCTACTCATAAGGTTAAAAGGCATATGAACTCATGAGGTTAAATGTCATAAATGCAATGTGAGTTGCTGAATTTGTTGTGGATGAGTGTGCATTGATTATTGAGCCTATTAAGAGTCAACATTGGGCTGGTTGTGCAATTGTCACAGACTTCAACATCTTGCCATGTTGCTTATAAGCCTTCGCAGGCATCTGAAGGATACATTTCTGGGTTGTCTGGTGGTTGGCAGTTGCTTGCACCATAGTTTCCATGCTCCTGGTTTTTTTCTTTTTTTTTAAATTGTTAACTGTTATATTAGTGTAAGGGGAATTACAGTAGTCTTTGGAGATAGCCCACAGGCTGGGCTTCTCGGCAAAAAATGGGCTTACCCAAAAAGGGTTCTATGCAAAAAATGAGTGGGGCATATAGAATATGTCCATTACAAAAGATATATAAAGAGAAACAGTGGATCTAAAACGTCGAGGCCACAAAAAACGAGTGGGGTTGAACACCAAGATTAGCAAACCAGTCCTTGGACTCTTAAGGATCCACCTCACAGGCAACCACTCCTTCCTTAGCCAGTTGGTCTGCCTGGGTGTTTGATTCCCTCCAAATATGCCTCTATAAGATCTATCCCTGCAAATGTGCATAATCTCATCATAAATCGAAGCAAGGTACCAAGGGGGGGGACTGACTTTTCAGAAGCCCAAGTGACAATATTTAGGGCGTCTCCTTCAACAATCAGAGGTTGTCCCCAAGCAGGGTTGAATAATTTGAGACCCGAAAGAAGGGCCAATGACTCTGCTAGATGGGAGTCGGCGTGGCCAATGAACTTGGAGAAAAAGGCCAGTATATTGCCACAGTGGTCTCTGAAGACCCCACGTAAGCTAGCTGGCCCTGGGTTTCCCAAAGAGCACCCATCAAAATTCAGTTTTGTGAGGCCTACCGGGTGGGTAGACTAATTGTTGGCTCGAACAACCTGAGGTGGTTGGAGGTGGAGGACGTTTTCCCAGTTTTGTAGAAAGTACGATGCCAAAATGCCTTTGAAAGCCTTGTGATTTGAAGCCCACAAGATGACTTAAGCTGTAATCTTGTGGAAGCGGGCCGAGGCTTCACACCTGGATCCTTGGAAAATCCTTGAATTTCTTTCCATCCAAATTAACCAAATGGTAGCTGCCATGAAGGCTTTCCAAAGGACCCGACCTGCCTTCGGCCAATGAGAATCCAAGAGAGACAAAGGAGAGCTGGGAGGGATGGCGCTGTAACCCAAGAGAGGCTGAAGAGGCGAAGAATGAGGCTCCACATATTGAAGGCAAGGCTGCAATGAATAATGAGGTAAGGGTTGCTCTCTTCCTCACAAAGGCACATGACACAGCGGTTAGGAATGGGAATACCCCTGCGTTTTAATTGGTCGACAGTCAGTGCCTTCTCAGAGCACACTATCCAGTCGAAAGCTTGTACTCTTGGTGGGGCTATAGTGGACCACACCTTGTTTACCACCGAAGTAGGAGAGTGTGGGAAGGTGGGTGGTTGTAGCAGTTTTTTGTAGGAGGCAACTGAGAAAGAACCAGAGGGTAAGGGGGTACACACCATACTATCCGAACCAGAGAAAGCAAGGAAAGTTGAGTGTAACAAGGAGGAGAGAGAGCGAGAGAGAGAGAGAGAGAGAGAGAGAGAGAGAGAGAGAAAGTCCAAGGTTTCTCTACGGGAGAGGGCCGCAAAAGATGGATTCCAGACCCTACGACTACCTGAGATGGGCATCTCGTCCTCAATGGAAGAGGATGTATTGGTGGCCAAGGAAAAGAGGGGAATCGATCTCTAGGTGGAGTGTTGCCCGACCAAAGGTCTGACGAGAATCGGGTTATGTTGCCTCTCCTAGGATGGAAGGGAATGTTTCCATGCTCCTGTTACAAGAGTACTTCTGCAGTTATATGTTACTTATTTGTAGGGCCTCTCTGGCTAATATTTTTGCATGGTGTAGCAAGAACCATTTTGGTAGCACCAGTAGTTGGGCCAGGTGGTGCACGTATGCCTCATATTTGTTTCAATTCATACAAGCCCCTCAACATCAGAAAAGAATCATATCTTTCTGGTAACCCGTATGAATGTTATTTGGTATTTGATTTAGGGAAACTCTTAAATGATCCACATGGTTATGATAACGACATGACCATGTTGATTATCATTGTCCAATCAAATGGGTCGAATGGTGATATGGTGATGTAAGTATGCCTTAATGACATGTTTAGCGGGATCTGTTCCCTCCAGCACCGTCCAAGTCATTGATGGGATGGTGACAACCTCATGGTTATGTTTTGATGACCATATGGATCAATGGTTTATACAGCGTTTGAATTTTTGACCATCGTTTCTCTCAGATATTGCATCTTTAAATGTAGTTGGAGATCTTTTGATGATTCTTTTAATCTTCATGTAACCATTCAAAAAAAATGTGAATGTGTATATAAACATATGTTCTGCTGATCTATAAACATATACTCTCTTGATTTATGATGTGAATGTATTAGTATGTGGGTGTCATGTGCATCTCTGTGCCTGTGTACGTATGTCTGTATACAAATTGTGTATTTTCTCCATGGCTGGTAAGTGGGGGCACCAGTCGGATGCATGTTATTTCCACCTTGGAGTGGAATTATTGAGATGTAATTGGCGGAGAGAAGTGGTTTGAGCCTCTTACTTCCAAGAGGGTTGTGCTTGAGAGCCCTCATGAGCCTGTTATGATACCTGTTACCTCAAAAATTCTGTGCACATACAAACAATTGTTTGTGTATGCATGTGTATTTGTATATACGCCCCTGTGCCTTTAGACGTATTTATGGCATTTGGGGTGGTGTGCACATATTCCTATCAACATTGATATAGGAAGATGAGCTAATTCAATTTATGTGTGTAGATGTATCTTTGTGGCTGCTTTATGAATGTTTCATATATCTTTCTGTTGTAGCAATTTATTGTGTAAGTAGTGTAAGTTATGATTAATTGTGTATGTTATGTTTCATCCCAAGGTCCTAGTATTGAGGGATATTTATCTATGGGAATGTATAGCATCAGACATGTACCTTTGTATGTTGTTAGAGACTCAAGATTTAAACTCAAGCAACCGGCGCTTCAGGCTGGGGAAGCCAGTTGCCTTTTATTTTTCTAATGTACTTTATTGTAACAAGTCAACTTCATGCCAGGTTTTGCTTTTTTGTTTCCAACCTCTCTCCAAGCCCCCTTTCTCTCTCTTTAAACCCTCAAATCTCTGTTCTCACCTAAATACTCTTTCTATCTTCAAATATCCCAGGTTGACTTTAGTTGGGAAAAGGGTTTCGATGATGATTTTTTTTCTCTCTAACCATCCTTTCCACATTTGGGACCTCCTCTTTCATGGATCTCCCTCTCTGAATTCCCTGCTGGCTAACTAGGAAGTTCCCTCAAACCACTTGGAGGTGATTTAAAGGGACAGATGCTCGCTGCTTGGATGATAGCACAGAGCAGCACTTTCCTTCTCTATGTTGAGTTGGTTCCTCCATTACGAGACTGCAAAATCCAAGCCACCCTATCTCTCTCTGGGTTCATTCTTTTCTTTTCTCTCTAATTTCTCACCTGGTCTCCCTCTCTTGAAAAAGCGGCTTTTCTTGTTCCGCTTTATCTCCTTTCCTTGCTTCTCTTTGGCCGTACCTTTAGAAAGTGAATGCCTTACTCGTTTAGGAAAAAATTCACCTCTTGTATTAGATGTTTTAACATAGAGATGCTATTTTTAACATTAAGCTAAATTCCAAGCTATGCCTTCTTCATTCCTCTGGTTTTGTCTTTTTCTTTTTGTTTCATAGGGTGGGGGGGCCAGGTCCAGGGGTGGGGGCGGGGGGGAAGGGGGGGGGTTCGGGGTGGGGGGAGTACATAAGAAGCACTCTGTATCATTCACAGAGTTGATAGTTCAGAGAGAGAGAGAGAGTACAGAAGACGAGAAGCACTCTGGATCATTCACAGGGTTGATAGCTCAAATCTGCTTCCTCTCTCTCTCTCTCTCTCTCTTTTTTCTCTCTCTCTCTCTCTCTCTATTGGGTTCTTCTCTTGCATTATCTTCTTTGAGTTCCAGTGACTTCTTCTTTGATTGATCAGTTGGGTCTCCATGAATTTGATGTTTTGCTTTAAAGCTCCAGCCACTCCGTTACTATATTTATGACTCGCTGATATATATCCTTGGACTTTGAATCAATCTCTTGATTTCTAGTGTTTCATGGTCTTGTTTGGTGGGGACTGTTCAGGAGCTTGGCATTCATATGCCTGGAGTTGCTCAAAAGGAAAGAGTGTCCACTCAAACGGCCATGAATTAACTGTCCAAAAATTTGGTCTTGTGATGGATTTTGAATTGTGTTCGCATTTAAAGTGAAAACTCCTTTTGATTGGCTCCAAATCCTTTGGGATCTTTGGGTTAGCCATAATTTCAGCTTATGATATCTGTTAAATTTCACAGTTTGGCTTGATGTGAATAGCATGGTGATGTTACATTTATTTTGGTTATCCATTTTATAGAGTTTGAATTGCTCAACTAGGATAGTACTTGTGTCTTGCTACATACACTTTGAGGACTACATTCACTTAAGAGGAGTATGCTTGGTCACTCAATGTGACGGCCAATGAATCATGAATAGTGATACTATTTGGTATATTATGCCCCTTTGAGTGGGTCCATAACACATTGACAGGATTATGCATGCTTAGCTCGAAAATGAAATGAGTATAAAGCCATGAATTTTTCATCAATATGAGAAGTTCGTGTTCTAGTTTGATGACCGCAAAGCATCCATGACCAATACAGCCTGTTGGTGACAAGTTAGAACTTATAGCCATGTTTTTTTTTTTATTTACAAGATCACAATGGCTTTATTACTCAATCAAACCAACGATTACAGTGAAAAGATGATAAACATAATAATTAAAAGGATATGAGCACCAAAGACGGGGCCAACGCTCCATCCTTAGCAAGCGAGTCAACCATTTCATTCGCTTCTCTAAAAACTCTAAAATCATGATTGAAAGTGACAACTTTATTGCGACCAATATCCAAAGCTTCGAACCAAGACCTTCTCAAGCTCCAAGATGGCTTATTAGATCCGGACATCTAGTTGATAACATTGAGAGAATCCTCTTCCACCAACCATGCGGATTGATTACAACGATCCTTCAACAACTTTAAACCTTGAAGCATAGCTAACATTTCTGTTTGGTTTGATGTAGTTATCCCACATGGGTCACAAAAAGTTATTATCTCTACACATTGATAATCCTTAACTACTCCCCCAAAACCAGCACGTCCTGGGTTTTCCAAAGAATTGCCATCAAAATTCAATTTAAAACATCCAGGATAGGGTGGGGTCCATTGACATCGAATACTGGGTCTAGAATTCTGTTGGTGTAACAAACTCCTCACATTGAGCCGAACATCAATATTTGAAACCCCAAAACCTTATTACGTAGAAGAAAATCACAACCAAACATTTTGAAAAATCTTATATTTTACACCATCCAACTCCCAACTGAAGCGCTAAAAAATTCGCCTATTTTTCTCCAACCAAACTTCCCAAATGATTGAAGCTCTAAAAATCTGCTATATCATCACCCCTTTTTAAGCAAAGAAGGAATCGAGAGTTGATCTATCAGATCAAAATGATGTGCCGGTAAAAACATTTGAAAACCGACAACTTGAAAGGCCCAGATCCACAACGTTGAAGTAAACTGCAAATGAATGAACAAATGATATCCAGTCTCTTCGTCATTTTTACACAACAAGCAAATATTGACGATTAGTTTCCCCCTCTTCCTCAAATAGCCATGTTACCCTACATGAATACCGAAACTAGTGAGATCTTATTCTACAATGGCTATTTGTAACGATTTCTTGGTTATTAGTGGTCTCTGCAACAGTAGTAGAGATCTGTTCAGTCGTAAATCAAATTAAGTAAGAACCTCATATTGATTTTTTTTTTTTGGGGTAAATTTATATTGACTTTTTTAAAGATGGATAATTTGGGAATTTATATTGACTTTTTTAAAGATGGATAATTTGGGAATTTTTTATGTTTGGTGTCCTAACACGATGAAAATTTGAGTTACAAAAACGAAAATTATTTCATGCTTGTAGGTGTCCTAACTTATAATGTTCACCAGCACATTTCGGCAGTTGCTGGTAGCCAATATACGCAGCTTCCCGCAAGGCCTTGGAGGGCATTTATGTATGGGTGCGGTTTGTATAGAATTGAGGCTCTAATCAATCAAAGTAGAGGACACCTTCAAATATTATCGAGAAACATGGTTTCAATATTGGAAATCTTTGTGATAACCTTAAAATATATTTTCATATCTAATAATAAAATTTAAGGCTTAAAAGATAGTGTAAATCGAGCATATCTATGAAAACTTGAAAATCTTGAAAATTGACCAGTCCAAAAATACATTACAAAATGCACTATTTCCAAAATGCACTATTTCCAAAATGTGAAATCCATTTTTTTCTCATGTCCACGCATCTTGATCTTGAGACGATCAATTTGAGGATACTTGGACATCTAAACAACTTCTTCTAGTAAATTTTTTGAAGGTGCTCTAATTTGATTGATTAGAACCTCAGATCTATATAACAAAAAGAGTTTCCCTCCATATGTATGACTCCAACTGGATGAGTTCACTATAAACTTGACTGGAGCCAATCCATCTTTTGAGCTATATCTGCAAAGAGACCGCTGAATTCCATGCCAAATGAAAACCAATGCTAAGGAGTAACTTTGGAACTAACATTGAACCAGAAGATAACTCATGGATAAATTAGAGAGAAACTCAAATGAAAAAACCCCTTGTTTTTTTCTGTTTTCCTTGCCCATGAACCTCTTCCTCACTTTCTTTGGGCAAACTCCTTTGAACCCTCATTTCTCTCTCATCTTGTGAATCTCATAATTAGGTTAAAAGTGGCATTTCTCTCATCTTGTGAATCTCATAAATAGGTTAAAAGTGGCATCTCAAATTCCCTTTAGACAATGAGAAGTAGCATTTCGAATTCCATTTATACCATGAGGCCAGTAGAAATAAGATAAAAGATAAATACTGTAATTTAGACAATCGAAAATGTAAGAAAGGGATTAAAAATTATTTTATTTTAACTTGGAACCCATGGACCAATAGAAAAATAAAAATATGCTTTTAACTTGGGGATAAATGCTGTGATTTAGACAAAAGTAAAAGAAAAATAGATAAGTAGGTTATTTGAGATTATGACTATAGAGGGAACATAGACATACATTGGATGAATTGTGGGAAGAGTATCTTATTCCATACTCGTATTAAGTATGACATATGTTCACTAGAAAAAAGAAATGATCAATACTGCAATTTGGATAATTAGAAAAATAAAAAGTTTATATAAGGTTGCACCCTTAAAATGTAGAATTAAAGATGCACCTCAAATATTCATAACAAAAACTTGTTTTAATGTTGAAAAACCCTCTAATTGATCATCTTGATATCAAGATATATGAATATGAAAAAAAAAAAAGAATTTTAAGTCCCGAAAATAGTGCATCTTACAACACATTATTTAGACCGCCCATTTTCAAGATTTTCATATGTTTATAGATCTACTTGATTTTAACCATTTCTAGAGTTTAAAATTTTATAATTAGATATAAAAAAAGATTTCCAGATGATCATAAGAGTTGTTTACACCAAAATTATATGTTAGGTTAAAATTTGGAGGTGCGCTTTAATTGGATTGTTTAAAGTTGCAACTTTATAGAAATCACACCCATTAGAAAAGAAGTAAAAATAGTTT